AAAAAAAAAAAAAAAAAAAAATACGTAAGTAAATAAATAAAACACTCAATTGACGAGAGAAAATAAATCGCATTTGTTAATTCTTCGATACTCAATATAATAACACGATACTGTTTTTCAAAGCTCGTTCGCGGAAAAATTAAAAGCACAGACAAACTATGTATTGAGAAACATACGCATTCAGAGAAAAAAGTATTTGATCTGCTAGAAAAGAGAAGAATTAGTACGACAAAATTGCTAAAATATACTATAAACCCAGTCGGAAGAGAAAAAAGAAAGGCAAAGGAAAAATTAACGTGTCTCCTCTCTAGTGCCTGTCTCGTGATTATCATTAAATCACAGTGCTTTTTTTTCTGAAAAATTTACTTAAATTACGATGCAGAGCGCTATATATTATATAGTACATGTATTACCCAGGTGAAAATAGTATGTGAGACCTGACTCCAGATCTGGCATCAGATCTGGTATAAGATCTGATAAATGTACGCCAGATCTGACATCAGATCTAATGTCAGATCTGAAGTGACTGTATTCCCTCTAATTAATTAAACAATAAGTTTATTATTAATTAAAATTTTATAATAAATCTTAATAATAAAAGTTGTTGAATCAATTCAAATTCACATTATCAGAAACCTAAATATTGTATGAATTTTTCTTAAAGATATTTTTTATCGATGTGATTATTAAGATATAACTAAATTTGTTATACAATTTTAATTGTTAATAAACTTATTATTTAATTAATTAAAGGCAGATATGATATAAGTTCTGATGTCGATTATCGAATACAAGATCTGGTATCACATCTGGTGTACATTTGTCAGATCTAATACCAGATCTGATGCAAGATCTGGAGTCAGATCTTACATACTATTTTCACCTGGGTAAACTTTTACTTATATCATGCTCGACTCCCAAATGATCAAATTCTTCTCAGCTTGTTAAATGCATTCGCAGAAACATATCTTAGTTTAATTCACGCTTACGTAGTACGGGTGGGGGAAATTACCTCGAGATCATTTTTTCGATGATGAGCACTGCAATCATCGATGGGACCACGGAGATATTTCCTTAAGTCTGACGCGCGATCAGCTGCTATTTCTGTCTTGTTAAACTATCAAGAAGTTTGATTTTTATCGTACCATTACCGAACGAATAACAACGAAAAATACGAGCTTCTTGTTATAAAATCTGTGCTAAACACAAATCATAGATTGATGTTTTATACGCTGGTGGCAGCACCTACTTGCAATGCACATCCTACATTTACATTTCAGTATCGTATTCAGCATATAATGTATTCGATAAAAAAACTAATGCTGAGTATTACATTTATATCAAGCCTCGGTCAATACTTTCAAAGTGTCACATCTCCTTTGTGTAATCGATATGTTCAAATTATGTTGTTCACTGCGTCTATAATTGTAAGGCGCGCGACGACGGCGACATCGAGTATATGTGGCGACTACTACATCACGGGAACTCTTCGCATGCGGCAGTGCCGAGCCGCATGCCGAGTCGTACAGTTCAGCGTGTTACGACGCCTCGACGCAAAACAAAGAAAGATCGCATCATCGATTTGCATCGTCGTGAAAAAAAAAATTGAGCCGGTGTATTTTTGTGTGATTGTGTTGAACGATGTCCGACTACTTCGAATTTGACGACGATTTCGAGGTATATGATGATCCAAATGATTATTACGATAGTGACTGGGATTACTATGATGAAAACTACGATTCCAGAGACAGTCAGTGTGTGAAAAATTATGGCGAGATGAATTTAAAAAAACTAGAGAGCTTGCGAGAAAAGTTTAATTGGGAGATCGAAGAAGAAAGACGCAAATTTCTCAATGAACTTTATCCATTGACCAGACAATGGAAAGGCCTACGACCGATTTTAAGAAAAATTTTTCGAAGGGACGAAATCGATTGGCTTCTCGCGGAGTCCGTAAGTTACAAGTGTGGACATAAAAATTTAAAGTCAGGAGAACGATTCGTTTATTTTGTGATCAACACCGGCTACAAGGACGAGCCCAAGCTAGATGAGGATGGCAAGCCACTGCTACGTCACACCACACCATTGCATTGCGCGGCTGGAAACAAGTACCGATATCTCATCCGTGATCTTTTTGAAATTTACGACAGATTCGACGTAAATTATGTCGACGAATTCGGCGTTACGCATTTTCACATTGCCTGCGAGTACGGATGCGACGAAGTCGTCAAGAAATTCCTCGAGTTCGGCCAGGATCCCAATTGTTTGACGCAAGAATCGAGCTCGATCGATCCGCCGCTGCACTTGGCTCTGAAGCAAGAACACCAGGAGATATTCAAATTGCTTCTGAGAAGCGGAGCCGATCCGAATCTGACCAACAAGGACGGATCGACACCTTTACACTTTATTTGCAAAGGACACGAGATGCGATATCGCGATGATGTGTTTGCAGAAATATTATTTGAGATCGATGAAGACGATAAGTATCGTCGACATCCGGTGCAGGTGGACGCTCGAGACAAGTTGGGCCAGACACCGCTACACGTGGCTCTGTTTCGTAACAGCAGAGATTTGATAGAATTGCTATTGAACAATGGGGCCAATCCAAATTTGGCTAATTCCGAGGGATTAACTCCACTGCATATTATTTGTCAGCATGAATACAATTGTGATTTGGCGAAAATGTTATTCGACATCAGCGAAAAAAAACATCAGCTGGTTCACGTCGACGCCCGGGACAAATTCGGTCGAACACCGCTACACTTGTCTGTTGTTAATCTCTACCCAGACTTTGTCGAGATTTTTTTAGATCACGGAGCAGATGCGCCTAGCTTTACTTTCCCCACAAAGGATCAATTTGCTGAGTCTCTATCTCTCCAAAGTTGTTTACATACATCTAAATTAGATCTTGTGTTCCGTACTCTGGCTATCATCGATCACCTCGGAAAAAGAGGATATGAGCTCGACCGAAGCGACGCCCTTACAATCATGAAGATATTCGACGAGTACAAATTGTTCGAACAAATGGTGGATCGCAAAAAATTGCGTAGCTCTGATGAACTCAAGAGCCAATCGAAAAAGTTCATGATGAATTCGAATCTGTCACTCTACGAATTCATTTGGATGCGACCAAAAGCGGTGACAAAACTATTCACTGTTACGGACTTTTTGCCGTTCGTACGCGCGAAGAAACATTGGAATTTCCCCGGATGGTACAAGGGTGCGTGTGAAAATTATCTGAGCAATATAATGGCGGAAGGATTTCTGCGGCGGTGGGCACTAGAATTTTTCTGGGCGCTGACGGGATACAGAGTACCATTTCTCTGCTGTGAAAAAGTCATCAATCAACTGAGAGTCGAGGATTTATGGCGTATTTGCCTAGCAACCGAGGATAAATCTATGGCTGCTATACGTGGTTTCAAAAATCTTTGCATCAAATAACTATATATTAGACAGTATATACTCATAAATAATGTTACAACTTAAGTTTCTGTTAATGCGTTAAATTACAATGATAGTAATTACTTTATCTCATGAATGTCAAATCGCTCCTAAAAATGTATTTGTTGCACAGAGTTTGTTACAATCAAAATAAAAAATAGCAAATTTCTTCTGATATTTTTCAATGTGTGATGTAATGATAACAGATTGTTCATGTCATTAAAATATATAAAAAATAAAAAAATGGGTCATAATTTTCACGTTCAAAATAACAATTAATAAATCATAAATTGTCTATGCATTTACACATCATCTTATCTTGAATGGTACGAGCTCAACCCTATTTTTGCTATCTTTTTTTGTTGCAGCTACATCTGTTCATGCTTTAAAATATCATTATACATTAGAAAACTGAAAACAAAATTTTCAGCTAAGCGTCCATGACAAGCTAAGACGAAAACATTTACATGACGAAGACTTTAAAAATAATTACATGTAATAATTGTTTTGTGCAAATATTAATGAAAACTTCTGTTCAAATAGGTTTAGAATCTTATTATGACACAAATTTCTTCGTAAAATCGTGACGAGATTATAATGCTTATTTGATTCTGGGTTAATTTCTCGTGAATGAACAAATTAAAAATAACTACTTGTATTACAGAATTAAGAATCGAGTCCCTGCCTTTGTTTGGCAGAAAAATAATAATATAAATTGTCCGGCAACGAACGTCGGGTTGTGAAACGTTGTATCTCGCTTCGTGTCATGGTAATGGGATACGTCTAATGTTTACGTTATTTCTTATGCACGCGCGGCGCAACTCGTCTCGAGAAGGCGGCGGGGTAGGGATGATCAAGCTCGCAGTTCGCTTCTTCGCACAAGCCCAGCGCCGCATCTCGAGTTAGTTTACGACGCAGCTCGTAATTGATCGCATCGTGCAGCAGCGCGTGAATTTTGCGAAGAGTGAAAATATCATTGCAACGTTCAAGTGTGACTGTGTAAAAACGATGGCCGAAGACGAGCAAAAGTGTTTAGGAAAATTGATAACTATGATGAAAGAGATCAATTGGGAGGTCGAAAAAGTGGGTCGTGAATTTTTCCGTGAACTTAAGTCCTTAATCAAAAATTGGAAAGATCCACTTCCAAATCTTCGAGACGTTTTTCGGCCCCACGAAATTGATTTGCTTCTCATTAAGGCTGTGAAAACCGACATACTCTTCTACTTGATGTACCTGGATCCATTTATCCCCTTTTTGATCAAGACCGGCTACAAAGACGAGCCCGACGTAGATAAAGACGACAAACCATCATCTCATCGTACCACCGCAGTTCATCATGCGGTTAGACTTGATCGTGCCAAATTCATTCCTGATCTCTTCAAAATATACGACAGATTCGATGTTAATTACACCGACGAATTTGGATTGACGCATTTTCACGTAGCCTGTACCTACGGCTGCCAAGACGTCGTCGAGAAATTCTTAGAACTCGGACAGGATCCCAATTGTATCTGGCCAGAAACGGGTTGTTCGCCACTGCACTTGGCTATAATGTGTAACAAGAAGAAGGTGGCCGAATTGCTGTTGAGAAGAGGCGCCGATCCGACATTAATCAACAAAAAAGGAGAGACTCCTTTGCATAGAATTTGTCGCCGAGTCTATAGGGGTGACTCGTTCGCGAAATTATTCTTCGAGATCAACGACGAACAACGTCAAACGGTGCAGGTCGACGCTGTGGACAAGTTGGGCCGGACACCACTTCAATGGGCCGTTGCGAATGTCTTGCCGGACATGATAGATTTACTCTTGGATCGTGGCGCTGATCTGTCCAGTTTCGTTTTCCCAATTGAAAGTCACTTCTTTCAATTCATTCCATCAAAACCAACTGGCCTAATATATCGATACAAATATAAAGTAGCGTCTGACGCTCTGGTCGTAGTCGAGCAGCTGGAAAGAAGAGGATATTCACTAGACAAAAGCGACGCGCTGACGATGATGAAATTGTTCATCGGGTGGGAATTGATATGTAAGTCAGATGTTGACGAGTCAGTAGACGATAACGAAATCGAGAAAAAAGCTTCCTCTTGGTGGAAGCAATACGAAGAGAACAAGGCAAAAGAATTAATGTTGGTTCCAAACCTGTCGATCTACGATCTGATGCAGTTACAACCTGGAAAGGCGACGAAACTATTCACTATCCAAAAATTAGGGTCGTTCACACGTTCAGATAAATTACGAAATAATTTTTCCTCTAAGTATTGCCAGACGTTCATTGCGCACGTGCACGAGCTAATTTTGAGAGGATTTTGCCGACGTTGGGCACTAGAATCTTTCTTTTCACTCACGCGCTACCAGCTACCTATTTTGTGCTGTGAAAAAATCGTTGATCTGCTAATGAACGTGGATTTGTACCATATTTGCCTGGCCGACAGTGATTGAAACTAGGACTAAACTAAGTCAATTTCATAACTAGAATAAATGAAAAACAAAGAAAGCATAATTCTTGTATTTTTTAAAATCTTATGTTCAATCCTGCTTATTTTTTGTTTAATCAAAATATATAAGATGTATGAATAAATAAATAAAAAAAGTTTTTTTTTAAATCATTTAGTTTTTTTTTTCAAATGATGTTCAAACGTTGAGATAAATAACTTATCCTCAAATTAAAAATAGATAGAGTTGAGTATGTTGAAGGTATCCCAAAGTCCAGCTAAATTATTTAGCTCTTCGATGTCCAATAACACTATACGTAGCAGAAACGAACTATTTATTTAACTCACACACTTGACGGAAAAAGTATTTGATCTGATGAGAAAAATAAGTACGACGCACATAATGTACCGACTTTTTTCCTGTTTTTGTTCAAATGAAAGAAAAAGAAAGAGAGAAAAATTGATGTTTCTGTTGGTCGAAATCGTCGTGAATAAAGGGTGCGTTGCGGACTTTGGATTAGAAAAAATATTTTCACGCATGCATGATGTGAGTAACCCTTGTTCCTCTCATTTTTTTTTCGCTAATTTATATTTCGTTTTAATATACTTGTGTTTAGCTTCTCGTTGGTACCGATCAAAAGCGCACTTATACTTTCAATTCTACAGTGCTGACGGTGCATGAGCAAAAAAAAAACAAAAGTCAGGGCAAACTCATCAAAAATTAAAAATTGTATTCCTTCATCGGCTGCTGATTCTCTTATTCGCTCGGAATTGATCATTGAGAAACTGATGAAGGAAGATTTATGGTGTATTTGCTTAGAGCATGAAATTAAAATTGAGAAAAAATTTTATGGATTCAGATGTGTAAATTACATTATTGACCAAAAATCGTAAAATCAAATTGAATCATTTTAAAACGTTACATCACCTTTACAACTTTTGTACATATGTGATATGTTTACATAGACTGGCATGACTGAAGCTCGCTAAAGTCGAATCGTTTAGTTCAGTGTACGTTACGACGCCGAAGCGTATAAACAACGAAAAATCATATCGACCGCGGCTAGTGATTCTCGTGATAAGTGAAAATATTATAATAAATTTTATACGGCAACGCATTGAAGTGAGAATAACATGAGTGTCAGTGATGATAGCAATAGTGACAACTCAGACTTTAAGTTTGAAGGAGATTATTCAACCGAATTGAGAAAAATGCGAGCAAAAGTCAATTGGGAGAACGAAACAAAGCGTCGAAAATTTTTTCGTCGACTTCGTCGTTTGGTCGAAAATTGGGAAGACAATCTTCCCGATCTCAGGGACATTTTTCGCCCGGAAGAGATCGACTGGCTTCTCATAGAGGATGTAGAAAAAAATAGCTTCAAATCCGACAAAAAATATTCCGTCATCGAGTTCGTGATTCGCACCGGCTACGAGGACGAGCCCGAGATAGACGAAGGCGGAAAACCTCTCTTGTATCGCCCGACGGCAGTGCATCATACTGGATATGATTACGTTGTAGATCGCCGTTGTGACCCCGTCCTCATCGGCAAACTTTTTCAAATATACTCCAATTTCAATTTCAATTACACCGACAAATACGGATTCACGCACTTTCACGCGGCCTGCATGGCCGGCTGCAACGGCGTCGTCGCGCTATTCCTCGTGCTCGGCCAGGATGCCAATTGTCTCACGGAAGAACCGCACACGATATGGGTCGATCCACCGCTACACTTTGCCGTCAAGCGCGGCAGTGTAAAATTGGTCGAATTACTGCTGAGAGTAGGCGCCGACGCTAATTTGGCCAACCGAGACGGATCGACCGCCCTGCACATCGTTTGCCAAAATCGTGATATCGAGACGAGCGACGAGAGGACTTATCCGCGCTACACTTTGCAACAGAGACATCGAAAGAGTATCGAATTTCTGCTGAGAAGCGGGGCCGATCCGAATATCGCCGACGACGAGGGCTTGACTCCGCTCCACGTCCTTGCCAAGACCAGCAGCAGCCGCGACAGCGACTCGATGATGATGAAATTCTTCGAGATGTGCGACGACAATCGTCTGGAGGTGCTGGTCGACATCCGGGACAAGTTGGGTAGGTCGCCGCTGCAATGGGCCGTGGCGAATCTCCGTACGGATCTGGTCGATGTGCTCTTGAATCGTGGCGCCGATCTGTCGAGCTTCGTCTTTCCCACCGATGATTACTTCGCCGAGACGACGACGTCTCGTCGACATTTTGAGAAATTTCCGATGAAGCTCGCGTCCGACGCGATGGCCATAGTCGATCGCCTCGAGAAAGGAGGATACGAGCTGGACTGCACCGACGCCCTTGTAATCATGGAAAAATTCGATCATTACGGATTATTAGATCGTCTTGACACACGTTGGCCCGACGGCCAGGAGTTCGAAAGAAAAGCGAAAACGATAATCGTGAGAGATAACGATCCAAAGCTGTCGCTCTACGATTTGATTCAGTTACAACCGAAAGAGGCGGAAAAATTGCTCACGTACGCGGACTACTCGAAGCTCGCGGACTCGAAGGAATTTGTTCCCAGCATTTGTTTTACGCGCCTGATGGAGTTGCTGACGAGAGGATTTTGTCGGCGATGGGCCCTGGAATCTTTCATGGAGATGACGCGCATCAAGTTCCCGATTTCTTGGTGCGAGAATTTCATCGATTCGCTGGCGATTAAGGAGTTGTATTACGTTTGTGTGCAGGCCAGTGAATGCAGCTAGGAACAGCGAGATTTTCGTAATCGTTACGTCCGTAAACAACGCGAATGCGACAGAAATCAAGCATATCAATTAATTATAATTCAATGTCTGATGTTTTAAAAATTAATTTTAACATTTAAAGTAAATGTACTTAATAAGTAAATTGCTAAAAATCTTTTAATTTTTCTTTTTATAAAACTACTTGATCGCCCTGGCGAAATATTTCATCTACCGAATTATCATTATTAGATAGCCTATATAGTGAGTGTTTTCCCAAAATATAACAAAAAGTTGTGATCCTTCGACGCTCGGCAAAACTACTATTTTTTTAAGCTCATTCGCGTAAAAAAAAGCAAAAGCATAGGCAACTGTACACAAACTCACGAACTCAACGAAATAAAGTATTTGCTTTAAAAGAAGAAACTAAAAGTAGTACGACGCGCAAAATCTGTATAAATTTACTGGCTTTTTTATCATGATTTTGTTAAAAGTAAAAAGATTCAGTCGGCATCAGTTCGTGAGGGAGCACGAGAATCAGATCAGAAAAGATGTAAGTATTGTAATTGTAAAAGTTTAAACTTCCTCTTTTACCATCGTGTATCATGAATTTTTAGTAAACTCATGCCGAATGTTATGCACAAATTAAAGGCATCATTGTGGCTTATGCGTAAGAAAAGAAAAAATGACTCTCGTGGCAGTTCTTATATTTAAATTATTCACTGATGAAATGTCAAAGCCGCAGTCAGCATAAAATAAATTTCAATGCAAAATAACATCTGGCTTAGCGTATGTAATGCGATATAGGTATAGTATGTTTGCGTCATTGCTTCGGCGCGCAGCTCAATTCGTCGCTTATGCTATTGTAGAGGACGACACGCGGCCGGCGGCACTCGGCAGTGTCGCGCCACACGTCGAGTCGTGCAGTTCAGTCGTCTGTTGACTGTTAGCCGAAGCGTGAAACAAAGAAAGATCGCATTGATTGACAGTACCTATACATGAGACTGGCATGACTGAAGCTCGTCAGTTTTAAATCGTTTAGTTTAGTACACGTTACGACGCCGAGGCGTAAACAACGAAAAATCGTATCGACCGCGGCTAGTGATTCTTGTGATAAGTGAAAAAATTGAAAAATTTTGTACGTTAACGCATCGAATTGAGTGTATACCGAACGATGTTTTATTGTAATACCAATTCCGATAACACGAGTGGCAGTGAAGATGTCCACGACGACAATGACAACTCAGACTTTACATTCGAAGAAAATCGTTTAAGTGATTTTGAGAAACTGAAGATTATGCGAGAAAAAGTGAACTGGGAGAATGAAAAAGAGCGACAACAATTTTTTCTTCGACTTTATCGTTTAGTCAAAGATAAGAAGGATTTGTATGTTTTCAATCTCCGGGACATTTTTCGCCCAGAAGAAATCGAATGGCTTCTCATGAGAGATATAAGAAAAAAGAAGAGAAGATCCGACAAAAAATATTCAGTCATCGAGTTTGTGATTCGCAGCCGCTACAAAGACGAGCCCGAGATAGACGAGGACGGCAAGCCGATACTGCGCCGCACGACGGCACTGCATTACGCAGCTGGTGGAGATCTCTGTGACCACGAGCTCGTCCGCCAACTTTTTAAAATATACTGCAAGTTCAATTTCAATTACACTGACGAATACGGATTCACGCATTTTCACGCTGCTTGTAAATTTGACTGTTGTGGCGTGGTCGCACAATTCCTCGTGCTCGGACAGGATCCCAATTGTTTCCCAGAAGAACCGAACACTAGCAGGGTCGAATCACCGCTACACTTTGCTGCAAAGTGCGGCAGAGTACAAGTGATCGAATTGCTGTTGAAAAGCGGCGCCGATCCTAAATTGGCCAACGAGGCGGGATTGACTCCCCTGCACGTTATTAGCAAAACTGGTTATAATATTGAGTCGGCGAATATGTTATTCAAAATAAGCGACGAAAAACATACACCGATTGACATCAACGCCCGAGATGGGTCTGGTTGGACACCACTGCATTACGCGTTGGAACGCGAAGACAGACTAACGGCTGAATATTTGGTGAAAAGCGGCGCCGACCTGAATATCGCTGACGATGCTGGATTGACTCCACTGCACATTATTTGCAAAACAAGCTATGGTGATGGCATGCTGGAGGATTTCTTAAAGATTTGCGACGACAATCATCTCCAGGTGCAAGTCGATGTCTTGGACAATAAGGGCCGTACACCGCTCCAATGGGCCGTGGCGAGTTTCCTGCCGGAATCTGTCAATTTACTTCTAGATCGTGGTGCTGATCTGTCGAGCTTCGTTTTTCCCACCGAGGATTACTACGCCGATATATTTGTCCATCAAGAAATTTATAATTTTGATAAACTTGCAATGGAAATAGCTTCTGACGCTCTGGCGATCGTCGAGCACCTCGAGAAAAGAGGATACAAACTGAACCTAGCCGGCGCCCTTACAATCATGGGAACATTTGCTGCATACGGAATATTCTCTTCAAGAAGTCTTGACACAAGTTGGTCCGACAGCCAGGAGTTCGAAAATAAAGCGAAAACGATAATCGTAAAAGATAATGATCCAAAGCTGTCGCTCTACGATTTGATTCAATTACAACCAGAGGAGGCGGAAAAATTGCTCACCTACGCGGACTACTCGAAGCTCGCGGACTCAAACGGACGGTGGTATATCCCCGATCGCCATATCTGTGCTGTGCACCTGTGCGAGATGATCACGAGAGGATTTTGCCGGCGATGGGCCCTGGAATCTTTCATGGAGGTGACGCGCAACAAGTTCCCGATTTCTTGGTGTGAAAAAATCATCGATTCGATGATGAACAATGATTTGTATTTCATTTGCCTGAATGCTAGTGAATAAAGCTAGAAATGAGGAACAACGAGATTTTCATAATCGTTACATCCGTAAACAACGTGAATGCAACAGAAATCAAGCATATCAATTAATTATAATTCAATGTCTGATGTTTTATTAAATTCAGTTAAATTTTCATTTTCATTTTCATTTAAAATAAATGTACTTAATAAGTAAATTGCTAAAAATCTTTTAATTTTTCCTTTTATAAAACTACTTGATCGCCCTGGCGAAATATTTCATCTCCCGAATTATCATTATTAGGCAGCCTATAGTGAGTGTTTTCCCAAAATATAACAAAAAGTTGCGATCCTTCGACGCTCGGCAAAACTACTATTTTTTTAAGATCATTCACGTAAAAAAAAGCAAAAGCATAGGCAACTGTACACAAACTCACGAACTCAACGAAATAAAGTATTTGCTCTAAAAGAAGAAACTAAAAGTAGTACGACGCGCAAAATCTATACAAATTTATTAACTTTTTTTATCGTGTTTTTGTTAAAAGCAAAGAGATTCAGTTCGTGAGGGAGCACGAGAATCAGATCAGAAAAGATGTAAGTATTGTAAAAGCTTAAACTTCCTATTTTACCATCGTGTATCATGAATTTTTAGTAAACTCATGCCGAATATTATGCACAAATTAAAGGCATCATCGTAGCTTATGCATAAGAAAAGAAAAAAAAATTGACTCTCGTGGCAGTTCTTTATATTTAAATTATTCACTGATGAAATGTCAAAGCCGTAGTCAGCATAAAATAAATTTCCATTGCAAAATATAATATCTGAAGCATTGGTCAACCCGTTTCGAAATGTCTCGTCTCGCTTAGTGTATGTAATGCGATATAGGTATAGTACGTTTGCGTCATTGCTTCGGCGCGCAGCTCAATTCGTTCCTTGTGCTATTGTAGAGGACGACACACGGCCGGCGGCACTCGGCAGTGTCGCGCCACACGTCGAGTCGTGCAGTTCAGTCGTCTGTTACGTTCAATCGCACGCCACAGCGTGAAACAAAGAAAGATCGCATTGACTATAGTGACTTGTGAAAAGAATCAGTTTTACTTCTTTAATAGTGTACTTTTGAGTGATCGTGCAGAACTATGTCTGACTGTAATTCCGAACCAAACTATGATAGCCCATATGAAGACGAACCAACCTCCGACTACGAATCCGAAGACATGGATTACTGTGGCCAAACATATCTGGAAAAATTAAAAAGCTTACGACAAGCGGTCGATTGGGATATCGAAGCAGGGAGATACCCATTTTTTCGTCGTCTCACGAACTTGATTCATAAGTGGAATGGCCAACTTCCAAATCTTCGAGAGATTTTTAGGCCCGACGAAATTGATTGGCTTCTCATAGAGCCCACTGTGCATAGGGAGCTTGCCGTATATAATCGAGGAAGATTATTAATTGACTTTGTGATCAGCACCGGCTACAAGGATGAGCCCAAAGTTGATGAAGATGGCAAGCCAATATTGCGTCGCACTACGGCAGTGCACTGCACAGCCAGACACGAGTGGAGAGACTCAATCCCTAAACTTTTTGAAATATACGACAAATTCAACGTGAATTACGAGGACGGCGAAGGTTACACGCATTTTCACGTGGCCTGCGAGTTTGGCTGTGACGATGTAGTTGAGAAATTCCTCGAATTCGGACAGGATCCCAATTGCATTCCACGACAACCTAACGTCGATCCGCCGCTACACTTGGCTCTGAAAAAGTACGATAACAAGAAGGTGGTCGAATTGCTGCTGAGAAGCGGCGCCGACCCGAATTCAACAGATATGAATGGAGAGACACCGCTGCACCATATGTATAGTGATGAGATCGCGGAGATATTTTTTAAAATTGTCGAAGAAAACGACCATCGTCTTCAGCCGGTGCAAGTCGATATCCGGGATAGGTACGGTTATACACCGCTGCACCTGGCTTTGTATAATAATAGAATAAATTTGGCACAATTATTACTAAATAAAGGCGCCGATCCGAGCTTAACCGATGAGGAGGGCCTGACTTCTCTTCATATTATTGTTGACATTTCAAACTATGCCAACAGGGATGAGGCCATACAATTGGCAACTATGTTATTCGAAGTCAGCAACGACAAAGGTAAGACAGTGCAGGTAGATGCCGTCGACAAGGAGGGCCGGACACCGCTGCAAGTAGCTCTGGCATATGACAACATAAAGATGGTCGAATTTCTGCTGAGGCGAGGTGCCAATCCGAACTTGGCCGATACAGAGGGATTGACTCCTCTGCATATAATTTGCAAAAAATTCCATAATGAACCGGAAGAACTTTTGAAGACATTCTTCGAGATCAACGACGAACTCAATCAACTGGTACATGTCGACGTCCGAGACAATTCGGGCCTGACACCGCTGCAATGGGGCGTGGCGAATCATTGGATGAATGTGACCAACTTGCTCTTGGATCATGGTGCTGGTCCGTCGAACCTCGTTTCTCTCACTGAGAGTCGTTTTACCGAGTATATTGAGTTGCTTCGACGCAAATGGAATTTTTCTAATATGAAACTTGTGTTCTTTATTCTGTCTATCGTCGAGTATCACGCCAAAAAAGGATACGAATTGGAACTAAGCGAAGCTCTTACGATCATGAAGATATTCGGTGAGTTCAAATTGTTCAATGAGTCGGTGAATATTGAAATCTATCTGCTCACCGACAGGGAATTCTTAAGTAAAGCAAAAAAAGAATTACTGATCAAGCCGAACGTATCGTTCTACGATTTGATTCGGATGCGACCCGAAGAAGCGACGAAATTATTAACTATTGCGGACTTTTTGTCGTTTGTGCGCTCGAATGGAGAATGGAGGTTCGACAGATATGATTACGAGTTCCGAATAAAGTATCGCGACGCGTGCAAAACCTACCTGTGCGAGATAATGGCGAGAGGATTTTTACAGCAGTGGATACTCGACTTTTTCTTGGCGCTCACGCAATACCGACTGCCGATTCTCTGCTGTGAAAAGATCATCGGGAAACTGAACATCGAAGATTTGTGGCGTGTTTGCTTGGCAGCCCCGTGTAAATGCTACGCAGGTTCTACGTGACTTTTGTGACCGTTGAGTCGGATATGACGATAAAATAGATGATAAAATTTATAAGCTAACAGCAATAATTGAGTTTATTTAAGTATACTGTCAAATCAAATGCAAAAAAACGTAAATCACATACAATAATACTGTTAATTTTGTTTAATAAGTATCTGCTCGTTAGTGTCTAGATTTCACAATGATAGTTGTAATTAAAATAAATACAAAAATAATTCAATAATATTTTATGTCTGATGTAATACCTTTCTTTCTTGTATCATTAAATTAATAAAATGAATAAATGAATAAAAATTTCGATTTTTCTATTGTTAAACAAACGATAATCATAAAATGACACGCCTGGCTGTGCTCTCCTATTTCATTTAACAGCTATTACCACTTGTATCACAAGGCGCAGCTTTACGTTCGACTGCAAAAGGAACAACGTCTTCTATAAGCTAGTAAGCATTCAAAAAAATTTTAATTGATGTACTTAATATTTCTATAGTTTATAGAGTGCGATATCATGATTTCGTACGGAAATATTTATGCGAAGATTTATGTTGCATTTATCAGGCGAGCCAAAACTAGGATTGGACTTGATTATCTTCATCGGCAGTTAATGTTCTCAAGACAAAAGTCTATTGATTTTTTTCTCAAAAGAACACTCGATCGTAATAATAGTCAGCGTTCGAATGCGTAGGATAAGTTGAATCAAAACATCATTACGATGATGTTTCGATATATTTGCACCGAATATAATGCTCTCATTAATTATATCAAGTCTCACAAAGGGTGATATAGAAAATTTGACGTTTGTGTATAAGAACTGTCAAATGTGCAATAAAACATGGTTATAGAAACTTCAGATTTATTTTCGTCACTTCAGATCATATTTGCGAACAGATGCAATAATAGTCGCGCTGAATATTATATTAGAATTCATTTTGTCATAGCTCGCAAAGTATAAAATTATATTTGAGCAATATTGCTCAAAAGAGTTATAGCAATCTTACTCCGAATAAAATGCACAAATTAATTACGCATAAAAAATAAATAAACTTGACGCGTCTAGCAGCACCTGATTACATTTATACAGATTAAAATTCAAGTGCCTCATTTTAGCATATGAGTGAATTCGGCAGAGAAATAATATCAATTGTTGGCCGGTGCGTTCCAAAACGTCACGTCTCGCTTCATGTCACGCGATATGTTTACATTTTTGCTTGGCCGGCCGGCTCTCATACTCTCTTCTCGAGAATGTGCGGCGGCTACGACCGAGGCGCGCAGTTGCCACAGTGCCGCGCCGCATGTCGAGTTGCGAATACGCCGCTTACACTCGTATGAAACAAAGAAAGTTTTTATCGGCTTGCCGCAAGTGATCGTAATAAAATATATTAATTTCTTAAATTTAAAGTTAGTGCATTTTTGTGTAATCACGCTGAACGATGTCCGACGACAACTACGATTATTTGAAAAAATTGAAAACTTTACGAGATAAGGTCGATTGGGAGATCGAAGAAGAGCGCCATGAATTTCTCAATAATTTCGATCCATTGATCAGTAGCTGGAAGGGCCGACTTCCAGATCTTCGGGATTTTTTTCGAGCCGCAGAGATGGATTGGCTGCTCATCGAGATCATCAACGATCCCTGGCGCAAGTATAATAAAAATCAATTCATCGACTTCGTAATCCGCACCGGCTACAAGGACGAGCCCGAGGTAGATAAATACGGCCGGCCACTGCTGCGTCGCAATACACCGGTGCACTGCGCGGCTCGACTCAGGTACTACGCCATCGTGGGTAATTTATTCGAAATATACGATAAATTCGACGTGAATTACGTCGACGAGTACGGTTTAACTCATTTTCACGTCGCCTGCAAGTTCGAACTTCTGGACGTCGTCGAGAAATTTCTCGAGCACGGCCAGGACGCCGATTGCCTCGTCGTCGGGCAAGAATCGTGCGAGAGCTCGATCGATCCGCCGCTGCACTACGCTCTGTTCCACGGTCAAAAGGAGGTGACGCGGCTGCTGCTGAGGAGCGGCGCCGATCCCAATTCGGTCGACGCGCAAGGATCGACTCCTCTGCACGTCATCTGCGAGAGAGTTCAATTTCTGGACGACGATCTGGCGGAGCTGTTTTTCGAGATCAACGACGAGTTGGATCAGCTGGTGCCGATCGACGTCGAGGACGACTCGGGTCGCACACCCCTTCAATTAGCTGTAGCCAGTCTAGCCTCGAATACCGTCGACGTGCTCTTGGAGCGGGGCGCCGACCTATCGAGCTTCGTTTTTCCCACCGAAGATTATTTCGGCGTAAAATTTGATCACAATATTTGGAACGAATTTAAAACGAGACTCGTGTCCGATGCACTGGCTATCGTCGCGCATCTCGAGAAAAGAGGATACGAACTGGAGCGAAGCGACGCCAGGACGATTATGAAATTTTTTTCGAGGCACGGATTGTTCGATAAATCGATGGATCTCGATAATCATTGGTACGACGACGTAAAGTTCGCGAGAACGGCAAAAGAGTTGACGATAATTCCGAGTGCAACGTCGCTCTACGATTTGATGCGATTACGTCCCGAGGAGGCGGAAAAAATACTCGCGTGCACCGATTACTCGAGCTTCGCGAACTCGAGAGAATGGGGCCGGATTCCGAGAAGGTATCGCGTTGCCTGCGATACGCGCTTGTGCGAAATCGCGTCGAGGGGATTTTTTTGGCACTGGGCGCTCGAGTCTTTCTTGGAGCTGACGCGCTATCGACTGCCGATGCTCTGCTGCGAGAGTATCGTCGATCTGCTGGCGAACGAAGATTTGTTTCGTATATTCATGGCGGCCAGTGATTAAAAATATAACGATGATTAGTATGAGTCATTTTTTAAATTGTCGCCAAAATAAATGAAAGTATTGTAATTTTAGTATTTGTCGATGTCTGATATTATTTAATGCAGTACATTATTGACGTTATTAAAAATATATATAAATAAATGTAAGTCTTTTGATTTTCCTTTCCAAAAAAAACACTCGGCAATCGAGACAAAAAATTCATCCTTTAGGGTTGCAGAGCGCTTGAAGCATATATTGCATTTACACGGCCGCCTATAATCTCAAATGACACGAGCTCGACTCTCTTCTACCTCTCACTGTAGCAGCAGTTATATTTTGCATAATAATTTTATTATATACTCGATCTCCAAAGATACTGAGATACTTCTCGGTAATTATGATGTATTCGATAGCTTCAAAATTTCCTCCTTATTCGAAGAGCCATGTTTTACTTTTATTTAACTTGAAAACAGCTGCCCGATTATAATAGCGAGAGGATATTAGGTTGGTGTGCCTTGAAATTTTTCATGAAAAAATTAACAAAGTAAGATTTTGGTCGTACTTGTTTCGCGGGACAGCGGCGATGGATCGAAGCAACGACGAATGGGCTGGATTATTATTTACCTTTGAACTTGAATTTTATATTCGCATGACCTAAAAAATATTCTGGTCGGAAAAATAATTACTCGATTTACTTCATATTGACCGTCTGTGAACGTGATGTTTCAAAACGTCACATCCTTTGTGCTATATGCGATACGTTTATTTTACTGCTTTGCTGCTATAGGCGGTTGGCTCGACTCGTATCGAAATGCGTGGCGTAGTGATGTGGGCATGACTGAGGCGAACAGTTGCGGGCTGCGGCAGTGCTGTGCCGCCTCTCGAGTCGTTAAGTTCAGTTTCAGTACGTCGTAGTGTAAAACAAAGAAAGATCGCTTCGATCTGTGGTCTGACAATTTCGTGAAGTGAATACGCTTTACTTATTATTACAGGCTTGTGTATTTTTGAATTATTGTGCAAAACGATGTCCGACCTCGAGGATGACGGTTTTGAATTCCCGTGTTTTCCTGACGAAGACGACGTATTCGATGGCTACGACTGTGACTTTGAAGGAGACTTTCCAAGCGAACTGAAGAGATTACGAGAGAAGGTTAACTGGGAGATCGAAGAAGAGCGAGTTGAACTTCTCTGGCGACTTGAGGATTTGTTCAGCCGATGGAAGGGCCAACCGCCAAAACTCAAAGACATTTTCCGTAACGAAGAAATTGATCGGCTTCTTGTGCAGTCTATGATGAACGAAGGTACAGACGACGAGACTCCAGAAGAACCATTCGTTGTACTCGTGGCCCGTAGCGGCTACAAAGACGAGCCTGACCTCGATGAAAACGGCAAGCCGTTGTTGCTTCGTATCACACCAGTCCACTGGGCGGCTAAAAACCGCGACTACTCCTACTCCGTCGTCCCTGATTTATTCAAAATTTACGACAAATTCGACGCGAATTACATCGACGAGTCCGGTTTGACTCATTTTCACGTGGCCTGTCGTTGCGGCTGCGACGACGTGGTCGAGAAATTCCTCGAGCTCGGACAGGATCCCAATTGCCTCTGGAAGGAAACGGGTGACTCGCCGCTACGCTTGGCTCTGAAAAACCACGATAACAAGAAGGTGGTCGAGGTGCTGCTGAGATACGGCGCCGATCCTAATTCGACCGACGAGAATGGACAGGCACCGCTGCACTATATCGATCGTGACGATATCGCGGAGATATTTTTTAAAATTGACAAAGACAGCGACGACCATCGACGTAGGCCGGTGCAGATCAATATTGGGGATAGCTTTGGTAACACACCGCTGAACATTGCTGCGGATAGCTGCCTTAAAAATTTAGTACGATTACTACTTGATAATGATGCCGATCCTAATTTGGCCAACGTGGACGGATCGACCCCTCTGCATAAAATTTGTCGGATTTACTGCGATCGCGTGGCATCGAAGTTATTGGCTACAGCCGACAAAATCCGAGAGATCGCCGAATTGCTGCTGAGAAAAGACGCAGATCCGAATTCGACTAACAAGGACGGTTCGACTGCTCTGCACGTGATTTGCATGAAAAACAGCGAATATAAATCGGTGGAATTGTTGAGGACGATTTTCGAGATCGGTAAAGATAGAAATCGGACGGTGCAGGTCGACGCCGTGGACAAATTGGGTCGGACACCTCTTCAGTGGGCCGTGGCGAATTTCTTGCCGAATGTGTTCGATTTACTTGTGGATTATGGCGCCGATCT